GTCTGAACCTCTCTGATGGTTTGGGTCTCCCAGTAGCTCCCTTGGGATTTACAGACCCCCTAAAATCTGGAGGAGGGTCATCAGAGAGCCAGTTGACAATAAGTGAGTGAGTGAAACTTAACGGATAGAGTTTTCTGTCACTCTCACATGTCCATGTAAATGTTTTTCACTCTGTCACTTTATACAAATGAAAACTGGCTTCCTAGAAACGACCAGACAAGATAACCTTCATACCTGTTTGGGCCTCAGTGTCCATCCACTGCCTTGCTAAACACTCAACTTCATTGCTCTGTTAATGCTCATTCCTTAAAGGTCTGTCTTCTGCTTTCAGGAAATGGCTAGCCTCAAACGACAGTTCACTGAACTGTTATCGGACATAGGGTTTGTAAAGGAGGGCCTGAGAGCAAGAGAAATTGAGAAAAGGGCCCAAGGAGGAGATGGTGTGCTGGATGCCACAGGAGAAGAGGTAAAGAATATGTAAAACAGTTGCCCCAGGGTGAATTCTTGCTTCTGGCAGCCCCACGTATTGCAGAGTGGAGTGAGAGAACCACTCCACTAGGTCTTTGTGGCCTTATCTGGAACAGATCACCAGGCCTTTCTTGTGAGGCACCTCTGGATGGTTAGTCTTTATTTCCTTTTTATTAGCATATGAATGAAATAATGACTCAGGAACGCTTATTCCTATTTACATATAAGCCCTGTGTGAGCTTCTTGTGGTTGTTAGGTGCCGAGTAGAGTACAAATCATAGCTACCCTGTGAACAACAGACCTGACCCGACCTATCCTGTCCCGTCCTCATCATCTCTGACATACACATCTATTGCTGCAGTCTCTGGGTCAGTCCATCTCCTTGAGGGTCTTCCTCTCTCTCACGGATCCTCCACCTTCCACCAAGCCTGAGGTGTCCCTTTCCACGGAATAGCCTCACCTAACAACATGTCCATAGTATTTGAGACAAAGCCTCACCATCTTTACCTCCTAGGAACATTCTTGATTTTCTCTTTCCACAGTAAGTGTCAGTTAACCCAAACAGACGGATTTTTCTGTTGTTATTGCTTTTAATTTTTAAATGTCACTCTGGTTCTTGATAAAACCATAAAAGGTAGAGTAGATTTTCCAATACTGTGTCCTCAGATTACCAACTGCCATAAAGCCATTATTTCCCACTCATGACAACCGTCCATCTCCTAGCCAAGGTGGATTACAATTCTGTTTACAGGAGGAGACACAGCCTTGCATCTTTCCTCCTTCACATCAGGTTGGTGGATTCAGACGGCCAGCCTTGGGGTTACAAGTCAAGCGTGTAATGCACTGTGCCACCACAGGGATATGTTCTCCATTCAGCCCCACCTTATTTCCAGTCAACCAGGCTCTGGTAGCATAGTCCTTACTGTGCTGTTAACTCAAAGGCTTCATGTCTCTGTCAGGGCTTCATGTCTCTGGCAGTTCAAATCCACCAAGGAAGAAAGAAGGACTCTGAGGAAGAAAAGGAAGTCTCCTCCCAGGAGTGTCACACTGAGTCAGAACTAGCTCAAACAGCAAGATGCTCTTTTTCTAACCAGAGACAGTGTTTTGAAGAAAGAACAGTTCTTTAAGACAAACCTAACAAGCTTGCTTCTAAGTGCAGTTGGTTCTTTATTTCTGAACATCACATGAACCAGAATCTTTCCTTCTAACTGACCCATAGGAACACTAGTTTTGTAACTTAACTCAAAGCAATGCTTCTTTGGAGTGAGTCATTTGTGGATGTGGTCCAGAAGCTTTAAAAAAAAAATGTAGGGGAAAAACATTAGAAACAAAGCATTGTTTCTACTCAGAAGGTGGGAACTAGATGCCCTTTTGTTTTAAGATAGAGATCAAATGAAATATAAGGCTAAATTCCCGGGCACAGACAGAAATAGCCACATTTTTTGACAAAAGGACTTTTAAGATTAATACTCTTGTTTCTCTTTTAGGCAAATTCAAATGCTGAGAACCCTAAGCTGATATCAGCAATGCTATGTGCTGCTCTATATCCAAACGTAGTGCAGGTAAGAGATACACACATGTGGACGTGCCTGGGAAGGAGTTGTCTGAGAACAAGCAGCTGGGTACACATTTCTAATCCTTCTCCAAAATCTGCTTACATATGTCACTCTTCTATAAAATGAAATGTCTTCCTAAGCCTTCTGAAATTTGATGACATTCCAGAAATTAAGATGGACATAAATGTTATTCCAAATCAGCCAATCTGAACATAACTTTCTGTGTTAGGTGTAAGTTTGATTCTACTCATGGTTCCCATTTCTCCTTATTCCCTCCTGGGCCAAAATTAGCTAAGATCAGATGATGTGAGTCAGTACTATGGCCATACCCTCATGGTCCTACTGCTTGTTCTCAGCACTTTGACTTGAGTTTTCATTGTTTATGTCCATCTTAACAAGGGACCATTTCAGATACAGCATGCAAAGTGGGCAGAGTACCAAATAATTTCTCAAAGCCTTAGCTGATGTTAAATCCTCACTTAGCTGCTTAAATTAGAGTTCGTTTTGGGCAGAGCATTTGCGTGCTTGTGAAACCAATTAAAATTTACCTTAAAAAAATTCATTTGGATATCGATTTGCTATTTTAGATAGTTGTCTTAGGTAGAGTATTTTAAAGAGACAAAGTCAATGAAAGCTCATAAAATATGTTTGTGTGTGCGGAGAGAGAGAGAGAGATCTATTCATTCAAGGAAATGGCTAACACACTTGTAATGGGTAGCAAGTCCCAGGCCCATGGCTCAGACCTCAGCAGAAAGGAATGTGGGGAGGCTTGAGCAATCCAGGGTTAACAGCCTTTGAACACATACTGAAGGGTCAGTTATGAGTCGTTCCAGCTTCACAGCAGGGAGTGAATGAGCTTTGCCAGAGAGTCCATGCATGTGTTCAGTGCAGACCAGGCCTCTAAGGAGACTGCCCCTATATCAAATTAAGTTGATCATATCATTGCCCAACTGCCACTAATCCTGCCTTATTAACATCATAGAGGGCAGGATAATTTATAGCCCTGACTAGTAAAGTTATAATAATGATCATAGCCATGTTAACACATAGTATTAGCCATTACAATATTATACTATAGTTATATAAGTGTTAAGCCATTGAGTTATAAACATAGTCACACTCTTTTGCACCTTTTTATGAATCTGTAATTATTTCAAAATTAAACGTGTAGACATCTCTACGAAACACTGTTCAAGTAACATGCAAGGTGCTACCAACAAAAGTGTGGAGAATGTACTTCAGTGTCTCAATGTCGTGCTGACCAAGTGCAGAAGCAAGTGTCTTCATCAGTGAGCCCTTGCCTTCATTAAATGCTTTTCTACTCTTGCTCTTCATGTCTTCCAAATGCAAGCATTGGTATTTTAGCACCTAACAGAATATTAATGCATTGTTGTTGTTGTTATGTGCCGTTGAGTCACTTGCGACCCATAGCGACTCTATGTGCAACAGCCCTAAACCCTGCTCTTTCCTGTACCAATCGCAGTCTCCAACACACCCATCCTGATTACCCCAGTCACTGAATTAGTCCACCTCATTGAGGGTCTTCCCCTCTTGTGCCGTCCCTCCACCCTCCCAAGCATGACCTCTCCAAGGACCTGTCC